GAGGGTTGGTCCTGCCGGGAGGACGGTTGCGCCGCTGCCCCTTCAGCAGGTCCTTTGAAGCCAGGGCGCGTTTCCAAACGGCTCCTGAGGACTTTCAAAGGTGGCCGGGGGACGACGACACACCAGCGATGCCCCAAGTTGTTGCAAGGGATTGTTTGTGGCTTCCCAGCATCGCGGTCCTGCCAGCACCGCTCTGAGCACTCACATTTCCAACACCACCCGCCCCCCCCCGCCGAGTCGCCTGGCACCCATCCACCAACCTCCACCCCGGCCACACTACGCTGCGTCCCCTTAACGACCACATCCCGCTCTCCCAATTAGCGGAGGCATCCTCGGGTGCCAGCAGCCTCCAAAGCCCAGCGAGGGCTGAGGTTCGCCGGGTCAACCTGCCCCCGAAGACACCCAGGCAGAGCTGGCAGCGGCTCGGTGGAGAGCGTGCGGGGGGGAAAGCGCCGGCAGCAGGCGCAGGGGTCGGTGCTGGGTGGGATACAAAGGCCCTGCTGGAAAGGAGCTGGTCTTTTCATGTGTTTTAAGCACAATTCAAGTACCAAGCCCCCTCCAGACAAAAGGCTGGCAATGTGAGCTGAGCACAGAAATCCAATCCCGGGGGCGAAGAGAGAACCTGGCCTTGCTTAATTCAACGCGCCAGCACTCATTCTTTCTTTACGGGGGGGAGACGGGCTTGACACGCCTCAGTTTTGGTCCCTGTTTGCTCTTCGGGGTTTTCTGGACAGGGGCAAATCACCTGCAAAAAGCCTCCAACCATTTGTCTCCCTCCTGCCCCGATCTGGTTTCCGAAGCACAGCTCGAACGGGGCAGGAAAAGTCAGAAATTTCAAATGATCTCAAAATCTTCCGTTTCAGAGCGGGAAGAACGCAGCCCAGAGCTGTGCAACCCAGCGGCCTGGGGAGGAGGTGGGTGGGGGGGAACCCCCACTTCAGCAGAGGTCCTTGGGCTGGTGACCTGGCTCTGAACCTCTGCTCTATACAAACCCAGCGTGCTGAGTTTCTCGGCAGGGACCAGAGCATCAGCGGTTTTCCTGTGCTGAGACCAGGGCCAGGAGACCACGCAGACCTGTATTTTCCTCACCTGTTTTGCAGGGCAGACTGGTTCCTTCTAGACAGCCGGACGGTTCGCCACGCTGCCATCGGCTTGTTCTGCTGCGGGGTCTCAGTCTACCTGACAGGCAAGTGCTCCTTTCCCACCAGCAGAGCCCAGCAGGGACCGTGTGTTTTCAGCCCCAAACCGTGCATCCTGCACTGCTGGCGAGCGGCTGAGTTTCTACTTCAGCATCGGGTTTGTTTTGCAAATGCCTTTGCCAGCTCATTCCTGTAGCGCGAACTTTCCGTTCTCCGTGACCGGCCCTCACGGCGGCTCCTCTGGCCTGAAGTTTGCAGGTCAAACGCATCCCTCGAGCCCTTCCGCTCCCTCAAGATGTTCCTGCCCTCTCCCCTCCCAGCTCTCGCCATCTACATGCTGCTGCTGTTTGAACTGGAGGCCGGCATCGCCAGCGCTTGTATCCTCTCCTCCGGCGTCATCGTCCTGCTGATCACGGTGACGCACGCCCTGGTACGGGCTTCCCAGGTTTCACGCCGCAGCCACTCCGAGGTTTCTCACACCCTGTACGAGAACGACTCTGCCCAGCACGGCGAATCCTCCACCAGCGACCTGAACAACAAGAACGTGGCTGCACCCCGGCCCCGGCCTGAGATCCACCGGGAATTTTCCTTCCCTCCTTTCCTGGAGCACAAATCCCAGCTGGGCTCTCCGGCCAGCAGTAACCTCACCTCCTCGGGCAGCCCCGGGCTTCGCTCCGAGAAGGAGAGCTACAACCTGCCCCGAACCCACAGGACGCTGTCGGCAGAGTCCGGCCTGCTGCAGGCGCAGGGCAAGCCCTGGAACGGCGTCACGCAGGAGATGAGGAACGTGCTGGCACGCAAACCTGGAGCGTCGGGCAAGGACTCGACTCTGGTGTGAGTGGAAGTGGGACCTTTTCCGCCCCATCTCGTCCCAGGAGAGCTGCAGGCCCCAGGGCCATGATTTGCATCTCTATTTAGAGCTTAATACAGGTCTCAGCGGAGCAGGGGGACGGCTGCTCTTCCACCCTCCCGCCTGGGGGGGGGTCCGTGCTGGCACGCAAACCTGGAGCGTCGGGCAAGGACTCGACTCTGGTGTGAGTGGAAGTGGGACCTTTTCCGCCCCATCTCGTCCCAGGAGAGCTGCAGGCCCCAGGGCCATGATTTGCATCTCTATTTAGAGCTTAATACAGGTCTCAGCGGAGCAGGGGGACGGCTGCTCTTCCACCCTCCCGCCTGGGGGGGGGTCTGCGCAGCCCCTCAGCCGTGGAACACGCGCCTGAGAAGCGAGGGGACCTTGCCCACGAGCAGTCCTACCCTCCTTCTCCAGCAGATCCCAGCCCATTCCCCCAGCTGCCCGTACCTCCCTGCCCGTCCCCTGCCTCCTCCCTCCCTCCTCCAGCCCCAGGAGCCAGCACTGCACCGGGACGGATCACACAACCCACCCAGGCAGGTGCTGGGGGAGCAACGAGCGCGATGGAGCCAGAACAGTCCACGAGCTCCAGAGGGTGGGTTGGGGGGCTGCTGCTCGGCCACCAGCACATCCACCCTCCGAGCAGAAGTTCTTCCCAGCTCTTAGCAGGGAAGGGCTTGCGCTCGAGCAGCCCCGGTGCCCTGGCTTGGCTCAGTGGGTGGGGGGGACCTGGGTGCCACCAGAAGGGTGCCGCCCGTGGAGGCTGAGGGTCTGCGTTGGCACTGCCCGTCCTCTGCTGCACGCGGGGGCAGAAAGCCCCAGTGCTGAAGGCAGCAGCTGTTTCTGGGTGACACGAGCAGGTTTAGCTCGCTGTCCCCCGCGCCGACCAACACCGTGCTGGTCACTCACAGCCCCACGGGGGCTCTGCCAGCCCTGCCCAGGCCCAGAGCAGCAGCACGCTTGGTTCTCCCCCAATTCCTTATCATCCAGCGATCATTAAGCATTTCAGGGAGCAAAGGGAGGCCGCCGATGCCCAGATTCCCTCTCACCTCCCGTGCTATTATCCCAGAAGACACCGTTTATCCTGAGCACAACGTGGTTTCTTTGGAAACGGAGTTTGCGCCGCTTTGGTCCCTGCGTCCTCGGTAAATTCTGCAGCAGAGCAGAACTGGTGGTTCCAGGAGAAATTCACACTGAAGCTGCATCCTTTGTGAAGTGACCTCCAAAGCTGGGCGTTCAGCTCCGCTCCCCACTGCTCGACAGGGGATGAAGAAAGTCCTTTTTTTTGTCTTTTTTTTTTTTTTTTTTTTGAACAGGACAGTTTCTTTTTCCTCTTGAAAAGCTCCAACTCTGCACGTCTCCGTTTTGCTCCAGGCCCTTTGAAACACGCAGAGCCAGCAGGCTCCACGACCCCCCCCAAGGCGAGCAACAGGGGAAAGTTTTAGACAGAACTTTCTTGGTTTTTCTTTTTATTATTGTTCCCGCTAAAACCAAATTCAGCAACTCCCTGGCACACACATGAAAAACTCCCCTGGCAGAAGGCCTCCTGAGCAAAGCTGAAGTGTGCCCGCGTTACGCCTTTACACAGCTATCTACAAAACACTGAAAGCAAGACCTAGTTTTTCTGAGATATTCCCGTGGCCAAGAGGTAGAGAGAAAAAACGCCTCATAGCAGTCTGCCGTCGAAAGGAACTGGACAAACGCAGAACCACCCCAGTTCCCGTCTGTAGGGCGCTCTGGGAAGGGATGTAAGGGCTCCCTGCAGGCAGTCCTGACCCCAGGGGCAGGATTTGCCTGCTCAGGTGCAGCACCTTGTTACTGGGAATGGCCAGGCAGGCAGAGACCCCTGTGCAGCTTCACAGATCGAGCAGGTGGTTTCTCACTCCTCCCGCGGCTGGAGAACATAGAGCTGGGCTGGAGAAGGCAGCAGAGGACGGTCAGTCTTGTCCGAAATCAGGAACTGGCTGGAGGATTCTTGGCTTGTGGGGCAACAGCGCTGTGAAAAGAAAGAGACAGTCACACCCAGCAGGCAGGACACCAGCAGCCGTTAAGAATGCGAAGAACCAGGGGTTCTTCACAAAAAAACCACCTCGCCGCTTGCAGCGGGAGAGCAGCTTCGACGAGCACAGACTACGGAGCAGCCTACAGCAGCCCCCGCGGGCGGTCAGAGAGCATCTTGGCAGCCACACCGCTGCAGAAACCCCTGAGAACGCTCCGGGCGGCCCAGAGCGTGACCCTGCCCCGTCGGCAACCGGGAATACAGAGAAGGCGAACCAGAAGGGTCTGCAGGCAGAGTCACTCTGCAGGCAGAGGCTCCCTGTTCGCTGTGGTGGTTTTATCAGCGATGGGCATTTGGGGGTTTTCTCACTCCTACCCAGCCAGAGTCCCAACGCCAACACCGTTCTGGGGAGAGACACGTACACCAGACCCAGACGATCTGCTGGAAGGTATTTCAGGAGCCGTCGTTCAAACGTACAGAAACGCACCATCATTCTGCTGCCTCCACCAGCACTACCTATCACTGTGGGACTCTGCCCAAAAAAAGAGCCACACACGTGACAGAGAACAGCACCAAACACAGCCTCTCCCCTGGTCCACCTCGGCAGCATCACCTCACTCCAAACGCCTTTGACACCACGAAGATTTAACGCACTACACAACCAAACATCCCCTTTTTAAGCAAGGAAATAAATTCTTTTCCAGTTACCCTTTCACAACCAAGATTATTTGCTTCCCAGCAAAGCGAGGCAGAAGCTCACCCGAACGCTCTTTCAAACCACAGCCCAGAACTGTGTGACTGAGGGAACCTGGTGTACTTGCAGCGGGCTGCATCACATCACCAAAGCCTCAGAGGGACAGGCAGCGCCCCAGCCCCGCGCTACCTGCGGCCCTGAGCAGCGTTCAGCTGGTCCTTCATGGCTATGGCGTGCTTGAGGAGGCTGTCGATGCTCTTGAAGTACACGCTGCTGTCAGTCATGTTCTTTATGGCACTGCAGGACAAAAAGAGGGGGGCAGAGGGAGATGGAGGACTGGTATTTCCAAAGGCACCGTGGTTTTAGAGCCTGACAGAGAGAACTGTTCAGAAGAAACCTCAACTCTGTGCATCTTCCCTCCCTAGTTGGGGGGTGGATTGGCTGCAGGTCCGCACCGCACAGAGAACCGGGGGGGAGCTGCCACGCTCATCGAAGTGATGCCCCCCAGGCTCATGGTGATGGTTTAAAGATGGCCATGGTAATGGTTTGGGTGCCTTTGATAATGGTTTAAGGATGGCCACGGCAACGGCTTGGGGATGGCCACGGCAACGGCTTGGGGATGGCCACGGCAACGG